GAAAATTACGCTGGGAATTCTGCTGATTGAAGTAGCGGAGTACCAGAGTATGTAGTATTTCATAGAGTTTTACAGGCTTTCGAGGAGGCTGCTCGTGCCAAGAAGCAAGAAGAAGAGACTGCAATGTGCTCTGGCCTTGAACAGGGTAAGTTGGTTGGCAGACTTCCAAGTTTAATCAAAAAAAGTTGCTTCTTTTTTCTTGAGGTTCTAAATCATATATGTTGGAAGTTTTTTTGCGGCATTACTTATGTCTTTGCAATTATTTGTCAACAAATATTATTTTTTATACTTTCAAATCATCGACAGTGTCAACTGTTGAGTGGTTGCTATCGCCATTTGCTACTACTTAGGTTACTTCCCAATTTTTTTCGCCTCTCGTAGAAAAAGAATAAGAAGGATTTTGACTTTTGGTTTTTTAAATTATTTTTTCAAGCGTTTAAATGTTTTGCATTTTTTTTTTTGTTGCCAGCAAGAATTTTTTATCTGGCAAAGTTGCTAGGCTTGATCAGGCTGAGTTCAGTGTTATTGGTACTATTATTTGTGTTTTTATTTTATTATTTTTTCGTTTTTGTTACTGTTTGTGTTGTTTTGTCTTCATTATCTTTATTATTATTGTAATTGTTATTGTTTTTGTTATTATTGTTATTGTTACTCTTATTACCACTATTAATATTATTATTGTTGTATTTCATCTTTGTACAATTGCCTGCGAGGGTGTCAATTTTGTAAATGTGCCAGGATAAGTAGCAGATAAATTACAGGCTTGGATCCGGAAGAAATTTTGGGTGCGACAAGTGTCGGTGGACAGCTGACATTCCTGATCAAATGGAAGGGATCCGAACGAGCCGATATGGTTCCGGCTGCAGTTGCCAACAAAAAATGGCCGCAGCTTGTCATCGGTTTCTATGAAGCTCGTATACAGTGGAAGGAGTCCACCCCCTAAATGTGCCTTTCGTGCCGATTTCGAGAATATTTCGAGAATTTCTTATTCTCCGTGATGTTGATAGTATTGAAAATTGAGCTGTCAGCATTGCCTTTTACAGTGTTCAGCAGGCTTCTGTTGCTGTGAAGTTGATCCACGGTACTTTGTTTTATATCGTTTTGCTGGTTGGTTCAAAATCAGAATCATAAAATTTTATTTTTTTATTTTTATTGTACTATAAATCACAATTATCACAAAATCATAAAATTATCGCAATTATAAATCACGATTAAAATCATAAAATTGCCATAAAATTTTTTATTTTCATTAGAGACGGAGATATTTTAAAATTTTTTTTGATAGTAAATTTTCCGATTGATAGCACATTGCCACTAACATTCACCGCCGCCTGCTTTCTTCAAAAGCGAGGAGAAGGTGATTCTTGATTGACTGTTATATGCCAACACCTGTTTATTATCGAAATGAATAAATAAATTGCATAAGGGCTGGTTGTTTTACTGATGGATTCAAACTACTGGTTGCCAGAAAGGCGAGCAACTCGCCTCACATGACGTATTTTACCGTCTTCCATGGCTACAGTTGACATTGTGCTAGTTTCACAGACTAATTGTATGGTCACGAAGACATATTCCAAACATTTCCGTCAAAACCTCTGCGTTTGCCCTTTCGCTTTCGTTAATGGCCGTGTTTCGCATCCGTACGTCACTGCCTTCAGCAGAATGGTACTGAATAATTGGACCAGTCCAACACTTGACCCGACACTTTGAGGATATCGACCGTGAAATTTGCGCCAGTCAGCAGTCCCTTTGTTATTTTTCGTGCATTTCAAAAAATTATTTCCTGTGAGTTTTAAAGATCTCCACAGTTTTACGACTCTGTATACGTAGCCGCTTTTTTCAATAGCTTTAAGTTCTGTGGTTGGAGATTGTGGCACATATTAACTTTTTGTCTAAAATAAACACAACTGTCAATTTCTTACAATCCACCATCGCCTAACCCCCGGTTTGTGATGGGCATACCAGCACTTTGCATCATCTTCATTTCCGATACGTTAATTTCCAGGTCCGCTTCTGTCGTGTGTTGAATTGTCTCTGCCCCCAAAAAAGCAGCAAATGTGTCTTTAGAATGTACGGTGGATTTTCGTGTCTGGATGACTGTATTTGGTACATGTAATCATTTTATTCCACTAAGAACATTCATTAAAAATTATGTCAGTTTTGCAAAGCAATAGTTTGTCCCGGCATGACGACTGCCGCGAATCAGCACTGGGGACAAATGATATAAAAATGCAGTACTAAAGCT